CCCATTCACAAGGAAGCCCTTTTGGACAGCTCCTATTTGTCAGGAAGTTTTCCCTTCCTTTGGGCCTAAATCTTCCTCCCTTCAACTTTCACCAATTCCTGGTTCAGCCATTTGGGGCCAACCAAAATAAATCTAATCTCCCTTCCCATATGACATCTCTTCAGGGATTTGAGAAGAGCTGTGATCTCTACATTCCCCCTCTCCCCACCTTAATTTACTTTTTTTTCAAACTAAACATCTGCAATTTCTTCCACCAATCTTCATATAGCATGATCTCAAACCCCTTTATCATTTTGGTCACCTTTCTCTGGACATGCTCTAGTAATGTCCTTCCTAAAATGTCATATCTAGTACTTGACATGATATTCCTGATATGGTTTGACAAGAGCAGAACACAGGAGTATTGTCACCACCCTAGACCGTGGGCATCCGGTGATTATGTTTGCTTCTTTGGTAACTATATCATACCACTTACTCAAGTTGAACTTTTGCTCTGCTAAAAAGGTTTTCATTTCATCTAGGAACTAAAAACTGCCATGGTATGACATGGATAATGTCTAAAATAAAGTGGGAATATATCAGAAGACTGGTTTAAGTATTTAGGTCTCTATTGGCTAGTGACATAAAATAAAATAAAAATAACATTAAAAAAAAAAAGTCTTGCTCTTACATACCTGCATCTTATTAGGGGGGAAAAATGGCTGTTTCAGGTTGCTCCTTTATGTGCTAATTTCCCAAATGATCAAAATATTAGATGAGGAAAGTTATACCTGATGTGAATCTTCACAACATAATATTATTGCCAAACATTTTTCTGAATTATGAGGTTTTAATAGATCTGAGCTGGAAGGCACTTAGTAGTCACCTCATGAGAGAACCGTCACTCTATAGATAAGGAAACTAATGCCCAGAGAAGTTATATGATGTGCTTAAGGTCACGAAAGCAAGTGACAGATCCGGGCATTAAACCCACACCCTATGATTCTAAATGTGGTGTTCTTTTCACTACATCACTATTGCCTCCCATTTTGTGGGGCATAAGAATAGACCAGAAAGAAGAGGGCACAGGTAAACTTGTGAGTGAAAAGAGGATAAAAGCAAGGAATTTATTTGAGCACAATCAATATTTAAGGTCTTTAAAATATCTGAATCTAAATGCTAGATTATGTGTCCTTTATTATCAAGTGGATTAAAGACTTGTGAAAAATGGTTTTCTTAGTAATCATTATCTTGGAGATTCGGAGCTTTTCAGTTTACTGATAATGAGATTGCTTTGAGTCTTATCCTGGTCAAACCCCAACCCAATCCTGAATTGATTTAATCAAAGGTATGGAAGCTCCATTGTGTTCTGTTCAGGCTTAAGTGGAGACAGATTCTTCTGCCTAGATAGCCCAAGACTGGGAGTGGTCTGGTATGGTTGGGGGGTGGTCCGATAGAAGAGGAATTTCCTCTGTCTGGAGGTAAAACAATGATGGGGTAATATTAACCGCTGTTGAAAAGGTATCTAAACTGGGTACCCCAAGCCCCAAATCAAGCCAGTTCTGGACTGGCTCCCTTGGGGGAGCTCAGTTCTGGACTATAACCCCCATGTAATGCATGTATGTCTCCGGGTTGGGAGAAATTAAAAATGTGGACACAATGTAATTTAATTTGTCTTTTCTTAGAACAAACTGTGGTGTGGTTGACAAAACCTAGCCAATAGCATGGGAAACTCCTAAAAAAAAGGGTGAGGGGGACATCAGACAACTAAAACTCTGAATATGTTCCTGATTTTATTACACAGTGGCCAAAAGATGAATAAATATATTTGGGAAAGTAACTACTTATGATTTTAAAAATCAACACTTTTTTTTTTTTGACTCAGGCACCTGGGTACATTCCCTACCTCTCTCTAGAGTTTTCATTAGCAACACTGCTGTGAACAGCAGATTATTCAATCTAGAGAACTTGGAGCTAGTTAGTTTGAATCTCAAAAAGATGTCAGGCAAATGTTGGAGTCAGTCCAAATGATAAGTAAATGCTTAGGTTTCACGTATAAGTAGAGAGCAAATTTGGACAGCATGAAGAAAGACTGTGGGGTTGTGAAAAGGCCACTATACTTGGAATCATAAAATTGGATTTGCCATTATCTAGCTATGTGGTCCTGGGCTTAACTTTGATGTCACTGGGTCTCAATTTCCTTATCCATAAAATGAGGTGTTTTGGACTTAGTGAGCTCTTAGTTATGAGTATTATTCCATTCCAACTAAGAATCTATGAATTCTTGGAAAGCAATTTTGATATTATGCCAAGAAAATGATTAAATATACATGCCCACAGATCTCACTGCGAAGTATAACCCAAGAAAGCTAAAGATAGAAAGGAAAGCTTATACACACACCCAAATATTTCCAGCAGCATTTTTGTAGTAGGAAAGAACCAGAAACAAAAGGGAATGTAATAAATATTTATTAAACATTGACCCAAGTGCCAAGGACTATGCTAAATGCTTTATAAATCTTACTTCATTTAATCTCCACAACTACTCTGAGAGGAAGGTGCTATTATTATCCCTATTTTATAACTGAGGAAACTGAGGCAGGCAGAGGCTAAATGACTTAAGGCTGGATTTGAACTTAGGTCTTTCTAATTGCAGGTCCAAATCAAAAGCAAGGATGCTGAGGGTTATTCTTTGGGAGAACTTGCTCATAACTAGGGTATAACATTTCTTTCAACAAGGTTTTAATAAAGAAGCCTGTCTTCTGACACAAAAAGGATGGGGCAAATGCAAAAGGTTCATAATTCATTTCTTCCTTCCTCTTCAGCCCTACCCACAGTTTCCTCAGTATGCCCCAGTCTGGGCACCCTTCTCACCCCAACTCCTTTCCAGCACTCCTTCACGTGTGGTCTCCCCTCATTAGAAGGTAAGCTTCTTGAGGGTAGGGACTGTCCTGTTTGCTTTCATCTGTATGTCCAGTGCTTAGTACTTGCTTGGAATATAAGCCTTAGTAAATATCTGTTTGTCTGTCTAAGATTTATTTACTCTTCATCTTTATTCTCCTTCTCTGCTAGGATTCAAACTCACTAGACTCCAAAACCAATGCTCTCTCTGTAATACCAATACATCTCTTCCAGAGGATAAGAATAAATAAAAAAATAAAATAAAAGAGCTCTATGAAGAGGATGGCAAAACATGGCAGAACCAAGGAGGTGGTAACAGTTTTCAAAAGCCAGGTCCAGACAATTGCCCAGGAAAATGTCATCAGGTGTCCTACATTGCAGGTGAGTAAACTGCCCCAAAGCGGATTTCAAATGTATAGAGTTGAAGACCCACTCTCATGGAACATCAGAAAGCATAAAAACTACTTGACCTGGTTCAAGGAAGTAATCTGAGCTTAAACTAGATGATTCTCTGAGAGTGGGGCTCTACATTTCCTCCCTGAGTATTTGAGCCACTGATCTATCCCCACCATAGCATCTCATCCTTTTCAACTCCATAGTAAAGGCAATCTTGTCATTCTGTTACCTTTACTTCATGGCAGGTCAAATTCATTATAGCTGAGCCACCTATAAGTTCCATAATCCAGCCTTGTTTTTAAAAGATTAATCTTATTTTTGCACTCTCCCCTATTTGTATGAGCCATCCCTTTCCAGACTGTCCTTACCACGCTTCAGCGCCACCATGCTAGGCACTAAGGATACAACAGTAACAGTTATAAGCAATCCCTTTCCCTCAAGGAGTTTATATGCTACTAAAGGGAAATCATATGCTCATAAATCAAATAAAAACAGGAGATGGCCTTAAACATGCAGATTGATTGGGGAGGGAGCTGGTGCACTAAAAAAATGGGGTACTGGGGAGAGTCAGAAAAGGTCTATTGATTGGTGTTGTACCTTTAGATGGTTGTGTTTCCAGAGGGTTCAAATAAAAACATAACACATAGATATATGTACAGATAGAGTGACATAGAGCTAGAGTTATATAGATTAGCATCTATAGATAGATTTTTTAAAATTATTTTTAAATTATTTTTAAAAAATTAACAGATATCTGTTTTATCTCCTTCCCCATACCATTGGGGGGGAAATCTATCTCTATATAGATATAGATAACTATATACAAATGTAGATAACTATCTCCATCTCTATATTTATGGGGATAGATATAGATATACCAGACAATAGAGATAGATATAGAAATATACATATATAAATACATATGAGTATGCAGGTATATATGTATGTGTGCATACATGTACATATATATGATAAATGCTTGTCAAATTGATGACTCTCATAGAGACAGTTTAGACTATTTTTTTAAACTACGTCTATGAGAGAAGTATTTATTAATGCTGACAAGCATTTATTAAGCACCTACTATGTGCTGAATATGTACTATACTGAGCACTGAGGACACAAAGGCAAAAAACAATTTCTGCTCTCAAGGAATTTACAGTTTAATTGGGGAAGACAACAGACAAACAGCTATTCACAAACGAGATATATACAAAATAAATTCCTCAGAAGAAAGAACTAAGATTGAAGACTGGGTCTCAGGGGTATATGAAGGAGTCAGCTCCAAGGTCAGTTACCACATTTTCAGTGTGAGCATTTATTTACACCTCAGAAATTGACAAATGTTACAAATTAGGACTTAATTTATTGTTTAGTGATTGCTTAGAATTAAGAAAGTAATGCATAAAATGTTAATAATTAAACTTAAGCTTAAGATTAAACTTAAAGATATGCTGTGGGTATCACTTTCCTCATCTGTAAAATGGGTAAAGCTGGCTGTGTGTGTGTGTGTGTGTGTGTGTGTGTGTGTGTGTGTGTGTGTGTTTGTGCATGTGTATGCAATGGTTATTAAACATTTCTCAGCATATCCCTGGCTAGGAAAGGCTTCTTGCAAAAGGTGATACTTGAGCTGAGATTTGAAGGAAGTCATGGAAGGTTAGGAGGGAAAGAAGATAGTAATCACTGGGATTTAAGGGATGGAAACAGGCTCTAGAAGCACTCACCAAATGTAACGTGTCTGCTTTTTGTGTCTGCCTTTGTCGACTCTTCTGAGCTGCAATACGGTTTTTCTCCCTTCTCTGAACTTTCCTCACGTCATCTGAAGAATCCTGAAATGTAGAGAAGGCAGCAATGGGTCATTCCTTCCTGGTTACTTTGGGCTGTCTGCATTCACTCATCTGATAAATACCTACTGAATCCCTAGACCTTTTCCCAATCCTAAACTGAGAATCCTGACCCCCTTTCTAAGGAATTCCCACTGCTAGGTTAATATGATAATATAATTTTTAAAAATGCCCTTTGCAAACCCTAACATGTATGAGCAGAAATGTCTTCTATTAAAATATATATGTATATGTATATGTATATATATATACATATATGAATATCTTGATTTATTATCAAGTGGTTTCTCTCATTTGTGATTTACCTAGAATAAGTCACTAAGATTTGACACACTCCATTGGGCTGGTCTGGGCAAAACTGCTAAGGCTGTCTCTGAAAGCCCTTGACCTTCCTTTTGTTGTTCTTTTCCATATTTGTCTTTCCACCGCTAGTTCCTGATCCCTTCAGTTTTACTCAGGACTTTCCACTTGTGTGCTCTGTTTCTAATCTCCAGGGGCAGAATCCCAGGTTCCAAATCTCTTTCATCATTACCCTGCCTCTCCCATCAAAATGAACATGCTTTGTATTCTGACCCTGTGGACGATGTCTACCATCTAAATGGGAGAATCAAACAAACTGAAGTGTTACTGTATTTATGGGTGCTAATGGCTGACTAAATTAATCTTTCCTAGATAACATAGGTCACGTGGCCCAGAACAGGGCATAAGATTTGGAGGTAGATCTGGGTTTGAATCTCAGCTCTCCAACATGGTCTCATACGAGTCATTTAAACTCTTTGGAACTCAGTTTCCTTATCTGTAAAACGGGTTAAGCAGGCCAGGCATGGTGGTGCATGTCTGCAAAACCTGCTACTGTAGAGTCTGAGACTAGCAGATAGTTTGACACTGCTAGTTCTGAGTTGCAGTAGGAAAAGAAATTGGATGTTTACACTATGTCCCTCACCAATATAATGAGTCTCTGAAAGCAGGGAACTATCATGCTGTCTCAGTTAGAAATAAAGCAGATCAATGATCAAAGCAGGGTTACCCCACGACCACAATGGAGCATCAGTGTAGGATTTTTGTAGAGTCCACATTTTGCAGTGGAGAAACCTGAAGCCCAAAGAAAATTAACTAGCTAAGGTCACTCAGAGTCAGTAAGCAATAGGGTCAGAATTGGAACCCAGTTCTTTTAACTAGACTCCTTCCATTATGACAGATCTTCTATCTATCCTTTTTCTACTAGGACACATCCCCTTCCAGAGATGGTAGTGGGACCCCACACTCTATGGTGTACCCCATAGACAGAGGGACACATGATATGAGAAGGAACATTGTTATTACAGAGTAAAAGGCAGAGAGAACGATCTCGTTATTACAGTACCAGCCTATTTCAATGCCTGTGGATTTAGGAATAAATGAGAGATAGAGAACAAAGTTAGGTCTAAATTATTTTAGTTTAATTTAAATTAATTTAATTACTTAATTAAAAATTAAATTAATTTAATTTAAATTTATATTAAATTTAAAAGATTTTGTGCAAATAAAACAAACGTAGCCAAGATCAGAAGGAAAGCAGAAAATGGGGGGGGGGGGAATTTTTATAGACCATTTCTCAGGTAAAGACCTTCCAGATACTTCTCAGAAAAATGAAGCAAGAGGATTCAGGTCAGATAGGAAGAGAAGCTTCATTTCTCTAAAGGATAGAGAGATAGGGACTGGACTTGTGATTTCATTGGTAATAGAGAACTATCAGATAAGGAAACTCACTCTACCAATGCAAGTTAGCACTGTTCTGCAACTTCCAGTCGGCATTGAGAGGTTAATTGATTTGCTTAGGGTCTTATAGCCAATAGGTGTTAGAGGAAAGACTTAAACTTAGGTCTTCCTAGCTCTGAAACTATCTCCACCGTGGTACGATGCCTCTCAAAAGGGTATGTGGCATTATTTTGTTTTCCAGAATGAGAGCAGAACTCCCCAACCCCTTACTCCTAAGATATTTAAAAATGGAACCAACACATCCCTCAGTGGATGGGGTGCACAGGCACAGTCCTGCCTAAAGGATACAGACACACATCTCGAAGTCCCTGAGATATCCAAGAATCTGCTTTTTAAAAATTATAATATGATAATAATTACAACAATTCAACACTTACATTGAATTTTATGGTTTACAAAGCACTTTCCTTGCACAAGTCTGGTGAGGTAAGGATTGCAAGTGTATAACCATTTTACAGATGAAGAAACTGAGGTTCAGACCAGTTACCTTCCTTGCCTAAATTACACAGCCAATGTCAAAACCAGGATTTTCGACTGGCTCTAGGTTCAGCATGCACATATATACAAAATAAGTATATGCTATGCTACTATCTCCTAAAGTTGTGAAGATGTTTTCTAGTCCTCAAATCACCACACAGATGTAAGTTATTTTTATTATATGCCTATAGACACAAAATACAGAAAGTTCACTCAACCACCTCCCCAAACACAATGCTAATAAAAAATATTTTTAAATCATAAGAGTAGAAAAAAGAATTAAAAATAATTGTATCACAGGTGGTTAACAAGGCCAGCACCATCCTCCTTTACAGACAAAAAGTCAGGGGATGTGGTGAGCAGGCAGGTTCAGGGAAGGAGAGCTTCAGTTCTTAAAGTATGACCTGTAAAAAGCCGGAAGCTTCTGGCCAAGCTCTCAGTACTGGAGGGGAGCTGTTGGGTTATCTGAAGCATCTCCCTTCAAACTCTCTAGAATCCTCCCCCACAGTCATTCCCACACCTCCCAACCTAGTCCTATCCAATGGGGTAGGGGAATTCCAGCAGCCTCTTCCTCCCCACAGATGACAGGCCCCCTCCTCATAATGCTCCTTCAGAACTCCCCAGACCAGAAGCCCTCATCATCCCTTTCCCCCAGCTCTGTGGACTTAGTTTGGGTTTTTAGTTGCTTTTTTTTTTTTTTTTGCTTCTGTCTAATTTATGTCCTCTTGGATCACACTTATTTCATAATTTGACTTGTGTTCCAGTGTAAGCTTCAGTTCAACAGCCCGCGATAGGGTAGTACGGTGGAAAGCACACTGGACATTGGGTCAGAAGGCCTAGCCCTGACTGCTATTTTCTAGGCCTGTAATCATGGGTCATCAAGACACTTAAATGCTCCAAGTCCCAGTTTCCTCTTCTCCAAAATGGGGCCAGCAATAATGCTTGAGTGAAGCGAGAAACAAATTGAGAGCCAGCCTTGGAATCAGGAAGACCTGGTCTCACACTTACTGGATGTGTAACCCCAGGTGAGGCATTTAGTTTCTCAGTACCTCCTGGCAGCTCTTTAAAACTATTTCAAAGGAGTTGCTAGTCTGCATGAAATCATATAACCAGATCCAAAAAATAAAACTGAAAAGAATACTCATACTACCTACTTCATAGGATTACTATAGGAAAAGCACTCTGGGAGGCTCAAGTATGATATTCATGTAAGCTGCTATTATTAGCAAATGAGATGATTGTAAAGCACTTAGGACAGTGTCTGGCCCATGGTAGGCACTATATAAATATTAGCTATTTTTTAAATCATTATTATTAGCCATAGCTTACATTTAACACCCCTTATTAAGACTAAACCTCTCACAGCATAAAAGAGTCTTTTCCCTCTGACTAGAGCAAAACACTTTCATTCACCATCTCTTCATTCATTATCTTTCTTTCCTAGAAAGCTTTATGGGGCAGGGACCATGAGGGTGGTAGGAGGGAGTTGAAAGGAGAGGGACGCAGTGGTAAAGAGATGAGTCAATGGTCTCTGTGCCAAATGCCTCTGGGAAACCCAATCCCAAGTTCAAAGAACTCAGATGAGGCTACTTGGCTTATGTTCTGTCCTTGACCACTAAGCTCTCTGCGTAGTGGTTTCCAGCTAGCCTCCTGAGATGTTCTACCAGGAAGAGAAGGCCTAGGGGTGGGAGTCAGGGTGGGTGATGGGGGAAGAGAAGAGAAGCTTTACCTGTTTATTGCTTGGTGGAGGTGAGCGGCTGAAGCTGGAGTCGCTGCTATCAGAACTATGGGGCATGGCTGAAGTCTCCAGGGGTTGGGCAAGTTTCATCCGCTTCCCTTCAGGCCCTGTGTTCTTCTGGCTCTCTGGACACCAAGCAGCCTTTCTCAAAGGTCACCAGCCCACCACCTTCCTTGGAGTCTTTCTCGCCCACCATGCACCTCTGGAGCCCAAGGTCCTCTTCTCTCTGCAGCCTGGAGACACTGCACCTAGCAGTGACATAGTCGCTCACTTTTTGGGGCTTGCTTTCTCACTTGTGGTTTCTGGTAAAAAAAAAAAAAATAATGGAGAACTCAAGCTGGAAGTCACATGGGCGGAAACTTAGTGAACTGCAAGTTACACTAATGGGCGAGAGAGAGAGAGAAAAAAAACATATCGGGGAAAAGACCTTTAAAATAATCTGAAAATGAGAAGAAGAAGAAAAGAAAAAAAACCCAGACACCTTCAGACAGTTTAAAAGGCAGAGAAATTGGTTTCAATTGAAAATGATAAAAGAAAGAAAAAAAAAAAACAGAATGAGGAGGGAAAGTCCCCAAACAGTTCTAGAGAGCTAGTCCTCTCTCAAAATAGGGAAAGAGATATGGACACTAGGGAAATAGTTGCCATTGTCACACAATTTGACTTGAAGCCAAAATCAAACAGCAACACTAGGGTTTCATTTTTATTTTCCTTCATAAATAACCTACAGCAACCAGAAGCCTGGAATAGACACTGCAACCATGTAAGAGGCAAAGTGAGTGAGAATGAATGGGTAGAGAATCCTAACTCAGGATTTAGAGGAAAATTATGATACTGTAAGCAGTAATTAACATCAATGCAAACAAACTATTTAACATAGTAGGTGCTTAATTAGCATTTATTGATTGTTTTTAAAAGAAGTACTTACAGATATTTCTTTTTAAAGGTCAGGAAAAGAAATAAAGTCCAAGCTCTGATCTAAATGGACATAGAATCCTGACTCCCCTAATAATGCGCTCACTTACTTTTCCCATATTAGAAAAGATCCCGACAATATCTTCCGAGAAAAGCAGCTATCTTATATTGAACTGAGACTCTGAACCCAAATTCCCTGTGATGCATCTGGTCGATGCATCTCCCCAAAGGAAGAACCCAAAATGAAGAGAGGATTTAAGGCGTGGTGAATATCCTGATTACCAACCTCTCAGTCAGCTAGGTGGTACAATGGATAGAGCACCAAGCCTACAGTCAGTAAGATTCATCTATATGAGTTCAAATCCAGGCTCAGACACTTACTAGCTGTGTGACCTTGGACAAGTCACTTAACTCTGTTTGCCTCAGTTTCCTCATCTGTAAAATGAGCTGGAAAAAGAAATGGTAAGCCACTGTAGTATCTTTGCCAAGAAGACCCCAAATGGGGTCATAAAGAGTTGGAAACACCTAAAACAAACCTCACTCCTTGTGTAAGACCTTATTTTCCTTGATGAGTAGAATGCAATCTCCCTGACAGTAGGGATTCTTTTGGTTTTTGGTCCTTTCATTATATACCCAGGACCACAAACAGTATTGTACTTTCATCATTTATTTATTTAGGTTATCACCTGTGATTTCATTGGTATACTGAGCTTGTGGTGAGGAAATTCCCTCTACCAAGGCAGAATTGCAACCATTCTATAAAACCTACTAGTTTTAGAGAGTTGGCTGGGGCACTGAAGGCTGAGTGCCCTATCTGTCTACCGTGGGTCACATAGCCAACATATGTCAAGACTTGAACCCAAGACTCAAAAGCTTGTCCTCTACCCACTCCCCTATCCTGTTTCTCGTTAAGCTGCATTGCACCTAGTGTGTACTTTGCAAATATTTGTTAAATTGACTTGAGTAATACAGTACTTCCTAGAGCCTTTCAACTCTATAAGTGGCTCTTATGACTTTCCCGGGATCACTTGACATTACTACATATTGTAATCTAATAACCTGAGCTCCAACATTGACTACTATGTGAACCTGGGGCAACTCCCTTGACCTCTCTGAGCTTCAGTTTCCTCATCTGGAAAACGGTGATAATGATACAGGCATACCTCATTTTATTGTGCTTTGCTTTATTGTGCTTCATAGACATTGCATTTTTTACAAATTGAAGGTTTGTATCAAGCAAGTCTATCGGTGCCATTTTTCCAACAGCATGAGCTCACATTGTGTGTCGGTGTCACGTTTTGGTAATTCTCACAGTACTGCAAACTTTCTCATTATTATTACATCTGTTACGGTGATCTGTGCTCAGTGATCTTTGATGCTATTATTGTAATTGTTTTAGGGGGCCAAGAATCACACCTATACAAGATGGAAAACTTGTACTGACTGCTCCACTGACCAGCTATTCTCCATCTCTCTCCTTCTCCTCAGGCCTCCTATTCACTGAGACACAACAATATTGAAATCAGGCCAATTAATAACCCTACAATACCCTCTAAGTCTTCAAGTGAAAGGAAGAGTCAATCAATATCGCAAACTTCACTGTTGTTTTATTTTAAGAAATTGCCACAGTCACCCTAGCCTTCAGCAACCACCATCCTGGTCAGTCAGCAGCCATCAACACTGAAGCAAGACCTTCACCAGCAAAAAGATTATGGCTCACTGAAGGCTTAGGTGATGATTAGCATTTTTCAGCAATGAAGTATTTTTTAATTAAGCTATGTATACTTTTTTTTAGACATAATACTATTGCACATTTAATAGGCTATAGTATAATGTAAACATAACTTTTAAATGCACTGGGAAACCAAAAAATTTGTGTGACTCACTTTATTGTGATATTTGCTTTACTACAGTGGTCTGGGACCTAACCCGCAATATCTCTGAGGTATGCCTGTACTTGCCTTACATAGCTCACAAGGCTCTGCGGGTAAAGTGCTCTGTCAATCTTAAAAGGCATTATAATTGTGAGCTATTGTTATTGTTAGCTTTTTGTTTCTCTATGCCACCTTTATTACTTTTATTTTGTTAATGGGTTGAAGATGCAAAAAATAATAGTTGGCATTTATATAGCACTTAAGATTTTATAAAATGTGTGACACTATCTCCTTATCACATGAGGATTTCATGTCTTACACGGCCTTCTGTACCATCTTTTATGGTATATCATAAGCTCAGTTGACTGGCGCGGACTTAATTTTTCCCCAGTCTTTATAGCGTTCCATTTCCAAGGGTTAACTTGGATTCACACTTAACATTCTTTCTCACTTATTTAAGCCTGAAACAGTGAAGCAAGGGAAATATAGGTGAATCTGGGGACAGAAGCCCAGAAAGTGTTGTGAAAGACTAGTAAAAGGCTACTGCTTTTGAATCTCAATGCTGAACAAGATAATTCTCCCTTGGCAGATGTTTCAGGTGAGGCAAGAGTCATAACTTGGATTTGCCCTGTGGTGTTGGTAAGAGGCTCCCTTCTTATTCTAATGGGTCCTTGATGCTGCTGGCCCTATATCAAGAGGTACTTTGACAGCTAACATGACTGTCCCAGTCTCTTGATCACCTAAGGGTTTCTATCCCCATGGTTCTGTATGCATGGAAGTCCTTTCCAGGGAACACCTTCCCAGCAACTCCTTCACTTCTGCCTCCTTTCTAGGGTTAAGGCATCAGAAACTATTGGCCATGCTATAGGGAGTGCAGTTTCTTGGGGGAGGGGGCTGGACCCTCTCTCCAAGCATAGGACAGAATGTTCTCTGAACTGAACCCCCAAACTAAATTTGCTCTTGATGCAGAAGGCAGAGAGGAAGAAAAAACATTCCTGTAATATGTTGTAGCTTTCAGATTCACTGATTCTTAGCTATGGAAAAATAGTACAGGGATCATATTTCCCATATATCAAGGAAAATGCATTAACTCCCATTGAAAATTGGATATCTTTCCTTGTGGTATATGGAAAGAGTGCCACCTTTCAAGTCAAGGATGAGTATCCAAATCTAGCTATGTCACTATCTGTATGACCTGGGGTGTGTCAATTCTTTTTAGGTCTCATTCACCTCGTCTATAAAATGAAGGCATTGAATTAGAAGACTGCTCTGGTCTCTTCCAGTTCTAAATCTGTTTTTATGATTCCACGGTTGTTATAGGTGGCCTTATAAAATACGTGCATAAATGAGACTAGGTCTGGGAAACAGGGAGCCTAGTGTGATAATTTTTTTTAAAAATTTAATTCAGGAAACATATATACACATATATATACTCATATATACATATATGTATATATGTATATATGTGTGTATATTTCCTTTGAATACATTTTCTTTTTTTTTTTTTTCCCATGAGGTTATTCTTGAAGACCCTACCAGCTAAGAGCAGTGGCCCAATTGTGATTCCCAGAGTCATTCTTAAGCCCAGATAGTTAGCAGTCATCCATGTAGCCTTATTTGAGGGATGCCAAAGGGCCTTCTTACTATCTCTCATTTCTTTCCATTGAATTATTCCCTCAGACTCATCACTCTCAAACCAATCTATAAATCAGTCAAACCAATAAACATTTACTAAATGCTTACTCTGTGCCAGTCCCTATGGGGATACAAAAACAAAAATGAGTCTCTATTCTTGAGTAGCTTAGTCTAAATAGGGAGATAGTATGTACAGAACGTATTTAGAAATATACAAAATGGATACATTTTTAGAGAGAAAGGCACTACTGATTGGGGAATCATTATAGAAACAATACAAAAATCCTATTAGCTTGTACAGATGAGGTTGGAGAGAAGCCAAACGGAATTATTAAAATATCTTAAATTATAGATTAAAAAAAAGAAATAGGGGCAGCTAGGTGGCGCAGTAGATACAGTACCGGCTCTGGATTCAGGAGGACCTGAGTTCAAATCCGGCCTCAGACACATAACACTTACTAGCTGTGTGACCCTGGGCAAGTCACTTAACCCCATTGCCTAGCCCCCCAAAAAATAAAATAAAAATAAAGCTTTATTACTTTAATACTTTCAAGTACAAGGCAAAATATGTTTTGAACAACAACATCATTCTTAGAATAAATAATTAAGCTCATTTCTCAATTCAACCAATAATCACTTGTCAAGTATCTACTACAGTATATATAAGGCACTGTGCTAGAGGCTCTAACTCTATGATCTAGGAAAAATAAATAGTCCTTGTCCTCAGGGAGCTTATATTCTATAGGAACAATAACTGCAAGGGTAATTAATACTCATTTATATGTATGAAATCGGGTACCTCTTGTAGATGGTACAATGGATAGAATGCTAGATTTGAAGTCAATATTCAAATCATGCCTCAGACACCAGT